TTTCAGGCAACGGATTTGCTAATTACCCTGATTTGATCATTATGCCAGCCCTGCGCCCAGTTTCCCACACAGGTGTCAGGAACAGAGGTGGTAGATGGGGTTACCTTTGGCGACGCTGATCAGCTCTTTCACCTGCAGGATCACTGGGGTCAGGGTCCCCGTCTGGTTCACGGAGGCGATGTAGCTCTCCAGCTTGCCTTCAAACAGGGCCAACTCGTCTCGCACCAACACAAACACGTAGAACTCAATGACAATGAACTAGGGACACAGAGCAAAGGTTTCAAGGTCTCACCTGAGTCCAGCTCAGCATAGGAATAACACATGGCTCTCTCTCTGGTGTGGAGGCCAGTCTCTTCCAGGCATTCGAAACTTTACTGGAAATGACCCCACACACTGGCTACTCCAGCATGAATGGGATTGTGAGTTCTTGGGAGACAGAAGTCACCTCACACTCTGTTCCTGACCCTACAGTGAACAAGACTGGGCCCCACAAGGGCTTGAGGAACTCTTCAAACACTCCTGGAACCAGAGTGAAAGAATGACTAACTTTGAGTGAGGGGTGACCTTGGGGACAATTGCAGCCCCTGTCTCCCGTTGCTGCCACCACTGATCTGGGGGCAGCCCAGTGGGAGAAGGCACGGCTTCCTGCGCTGTCTCCTGTGCACACGGCGTACTCGCCCACCATCCTGTCCTCATATCGCCACATTGCCATTGCTTCCACAGCTCCCGCTGCCTCTCGCTCCACCAACCCGGTCATGTTTAGCTCTGAAAGTGGAGCTCAAACACTGGCACCCCCAGGCAGCTGCTCAATCTAGAATGATTCACTAAATTTCCAGAGTACGTTCGCTTTATCCCTTTTCTTTCCTAGCTTGGCAGGGACCTCATATCATGGATTATTTCCTTCTCTTAGACCACGGGAGCTTCTGCCCGGCCAGGACCATGCTGAGCCAGCTCTCTGCCCTCTTCCAGCTCTTCGCACAGTGCTCGGCACAGAGTGGATACTCCACAAATATTTAAGAAACATCATAACTCCAAGTGAGTTATTCATTGTTACAGAGAACTCTATAGTTTCCCCTTCGAATCCACTCTCCCTTCTTTGGGTACAGGCTGGACTACATTTCCCAGCCTCCCTTGTGTTCGGTGTGACCCCAGGACCAGGTTGTTGCCAGTGAAAGAAGAGTAGAAGGAATGTGTGACGCTTCCACACCCAATCCATGGAAACCTCCCACCGCCTCTCTCCATGCTCCTTCCCCGTGTGCTGATTGCATACAGATGGTGCTGGGGTCCTCAGGAGTGGTGAAGTCACATGGCTCCTGAGTGACCCCATGGCGGAGTGCCACCTCCCCTACTTGAACACCCATTCAGCACTGTTGTGTGGTAAAAATACAGTGTTAAGCCACTGAAACTTAGGGGATTATCTGGTACTCCAGCATAACCCAACTTAAACACTCACTTAAAAACTTAATCACAGGAGTGACTTAATAGGTATTGTCCTGGTACATTTAAAATGAGCAGAAGAGAATTTAGCCTTGTCATTTTCATTCCTCCATTTTGACTCAGCCATTTGACTTCAGATAACTTTGACCACACAAAATGTTTTGATTCTATGCTAAATGAAACACTCAAGTCATAATTATGTCAACATTTAAAATTTTTTGTTTTGAAAGCAAACTTAAATAAGACTTTTTAATTTTCGATCCATTTTTTAAAATATAGGACAGTAAACCAAGTCTAGTTGGTCCACTTTTATTTATAATTCTCTGAAATTATTTTTGTCAGGATCAATTATTTTATATTTAAATGATTTGATTTTTGTTCACAGCATAATTAACCGACTATAGGTTCTGCTGCTGTAAGTTTTATTTAGGGATCGTTATTTCTACGAAGTCAACTTTCCTGGATCAAATTCTGTATACTGAAATATTTTCAAATATCTTTTTCTTCTGTCAGTTTTTAGGCAATGATAAATTTTACCATGTGGAGTTTTAACTGCTATTAGTTCTGTTTGGTGTGGATTATTTATACTAGTATTAATAATATTCACAATGTGGGTAAAAGTGTCACTGCAATCAAAATGGTGGAGTTGAAGTATTGTACTTATTTGATTTACCACGATTCAATTTTGACCCAGCTTTTTAGGAACATACTGCATGCCTCAAGACTCCATAACCCTAGCCTCCACCCTGCCCAATTTACAAATTATAAAAAGATTTTCTGAGATGTACTTACAAGGTACAGGCAGATGAAGGCCAACACCATAGTTCCGATCATTCTGCTTGGGAATTGAAAGCACGGGTCCCACTCGTATATCCTGGTTTGGAACCAAGTTGCTTCTCCCTCTCTGTGAACGAATAAACACCAAGAAATGAGAGGCTGTGGCAGATAAACAAATTCTTCTGAAAATAACCCCATCACTTCCTTTTTATCGTGGAGTTTAGCGTAGGGAGAGAGTAATGTAGTTTCCACAGGTTTCATTTTCCCCTTATTCTTAAATATAGAGGCTCAGTTTTATCCAGGACAGTAATTCACCAAACTAAAAGACTACAGTTCCTGACCTCTCTTGCAAGTAAGAGTGACCAGACTAACTTTGGGCCAATGGGCTGTGACCAGAGTGTGGTGTGGATCATCGGAGAGGCTGCCCAGATGGAGCTGACACAGCTGGGAGGGTCCCCTTGGCCCTGCTTTCTTTTCTCCTGCCTCTGTGTGCAATGCAGACAGGGTAGCTGGTCCAGGCTGGCACTCCAGCAGCCACATGGGACCATGAGACAGCACTGAGGATAGAAAGGACATGCTAGACGCTGAGGCAGAAAGACAGGTATCAGTGAACCGACACAGTGGGCAGTGCAGGGTCAGGATGGACTCCTCACCTCCAGAGTTCTTTGATAAAGTAACAAGTCTCTCTCTTGTTTGTGCCACTATTATCTGGGGTTTTCTGCTCTATCTAGCCAAATCTAATTCTACCCAAAGTACTAGCTTTGCCACTGTGTGACCTCAGACAAGAGGCGTCTCTTCCCTGAGACGCATCCCCGCATGCACAGTAGTAGCAGGGGCAGGTGTGGAGGTGGCTTGTATGATTCTGAGATCTGTTGCTTTTGCCTGGCAACATCTATGTCCTCCTCTTTGGTGAAAGCACCTCAGTTTTAATTTGGGAACTACCTTTCCTTCCCCTGGGTCCTGGTGGGTAAGTGACACCGACATCACTTCCTAGCTCCGGGCACAGTAATTGTTTCCGGGTGGCATGTGATCCAATTTGATCCAGTGAAATGCATCTGTGGGACTTTTGTTTGAATAACTGGAAAGGAAAATTTCTCTTTCTTCTGAGCTTAAACCAGGAGGGTATAAGCCAGAGAGTCTGAGTGCCACCACGTGGAAGAAGCCCACCGAACTGTGAGGGCAACACAGGTAAAAGCTGAGCTGAGGGGAGACTGAGGGAGAGAGACCTGGTTCAGATGATGTCAATAAGCCCCTGGCTCCAGCGTGTCTGAAACTGACCGCTCCAGACTTTTCAGTGATGTGCGCCCACACATTTCCTTGCTTTAGTCCAGTTTGAGCTGGGTTTCTGTTCTTAGCAAACAAGGGTCCTGACCACTACAGGGCCCTTCCAGCCATCCCAGGTCTGTCCCATCGTCAGCGCTCATCAGAGCTGGTGCAAACCTGAGGGTGAATGAACAGAAGGGCGCTTACCGCGGGCGGGGCGTTCTCAGGAGCCGCTTGACATGGGCTGCCTGGTGAGGTTCCAGAACCGACTTTTCTTCCTGTGACAAAGAAGGCAGGCATGGGCTCTGGCTCACTAATTCCTGTTAGGGTTTTGGTCTCTTTGAGGGGCTACAGCCACAGCGGGCAGGAATTTGGGTACGAGTTGCTCTTCTGGATTGAGCCATTCCCAGGCACCTGTCATTTCTTGGCGCGAGGAGCAGGGTCCGGTTTCGTATTTGCCAAGCACTTGCTCTGAGGAAATGCCAGAGGTCTGACAGGCCTTGTCTCATCTGCGTACTGCCTGTACCAGCCACTGTTCTGTGAAACTTTTTCCCCTCCAGATTTGATGATCTCCCATCATATAGTTCAAGCCATTGTTTCGAGAATGAAACACCCTGAATCTCAGCCTTTTTAGGAGTTTCTTTTGTTCGTTTCTTACTTTTTCAGCATTTAAAAAAATGAAACTTTAATGGTATGTTTTGAAATGTTTTCTCCACATGCAATGAGCTTTCCACCGTAGTCATCTATTTTGCTACACACACATTGACTACGTAGATTCCATGTGTCTTATATAGCCAGGATGTTGGGTAGAGTCCAAAAGACCTGGTTAGATTCCTGACTGGCTGCTTACTATTTGTGTGCCTCAGGCAGGTCACATCTCTACCCCTCAGACTCCTCATAAGTAAATGGAGAAAATAATAACACCTTCCAGAAGGTTATCGTGAGGATCAAATAAGACAATGTCTATCAAGCACTCGCACAATGCCTGCCCAGCGCAAGCACTCAATGAGCAATGGCTGCTATCATCATAATGAAGGAAAATTTCTTTTTCTTCCATCTCTAGTAAAGGCATCTGAAATGGCCTTTTTTCTCCCATAAAGAAAATTGTATCTATTTAGATAATCTTTTGTATTTTACAAGAAGTAACTTACCAGCTCTGGTCATTGGAGGAAATACAGAAAGACTTAATTTCTATCTCCAAATCTGGAAAGTTTCGAAGCTGTATATAATCACTGGAACACTTTAGTGTTATTTTCTTGTTTTGGTGTTTTTTTTTTTTTTTTTTGGCTTTTAAGCAGATGCATGGCACATCATGCCCAGACTCTGAGCCTTATAGCTATTTACAAACATTCTGGTTCCCCTGCCTTCAAGACACATAATAAGATTGTATCTTCCCACCTCCTTCTAGGTGCATGTAGCCAAATGATGGCTTTGTCCAATAAAATCTGAATGGAGGTGACATCTTGGCAGAAGCTTTAAAAGCTACTGTGTACTTCAGCATGTTGTCTTTCCCTGTTCTGTGCCAATCACTCACGTTCCCAACAGAGGCTGCTGCATCAGCCCAGGTCACAGAGTGAGGAGGACATAGCCCCAGGCGCAGCCATGATTGACATGTCACAAGAGTGAGAGATAAACCCTTATTGTTAAGCTACTGAGGTGTGGGGGTTGTTTGTTACTAGAGCATAACCTAGCTTGTCCTAACTATCATGTTCATTTCGAAAAGATAACCAAACAACAAGAACAACTTGAAGTCACTAAAACAAACTAATCGTAACTTCTCCAAACTCAGATGATGCAGAGACCAAAGCTGTGGCAAGTGAGTCCCAGGGGCCTCAAGTCCAGGTGTCACATGTTCTGACTCACTGGTGGGGTGTAGGGGAGAGAAAAAGACCTATCCTGACCCCAGGCGACCTCAAAGCTAGAGCCATTTGCCCCGAGCCAGATAGGCTGTGTCTGACAGTGGTTGAGAGAGAGTCCCACAACCAAGCTGTCCGGGTTCCAGTTCTGGCTCTGCTGCAGGTGAGTGGGGCGACCGCAACTCACCTCTCTGCGACGAAGTTTCCAAAACCACGTGTAAGAAGTAGTAATAGTAGCTGCCTAACCGGCTGTTGTGAGGATTAAACCTGTCGGGACAGACAGTGCTTATACTTAGTACTCACCGCCTGGCGCTCCCAGCCCAGGTGCACCCTCAGAGCCTTGATAAACATGTGCAGGAAGCGGCCCAGCAGGAAAGCAAGGCACAGCAGCGAGGGCCAGTAGAACATGACGGTCTCGTATCTCCCCAGAAACTGCAACAGAAGCAAACCAAGGTGGCTCCAGGCAGGGGAAGCTGCAAAGGGAACCCCCCCTGCCCCAGCCTGCCCTGCCAAGGCCTGTCCTCTCAGGCTTGGCAGCCAGTGGCCGATCCCAGCGCCCCCAGCCCCACACCACAGGACCAGCAGTGGACTCGGAGCCCAGCAGCCCTGGATTCAAGTCTCGGCACCGCCATTTTATTTTAAGAAACAGCTTTTGTGTGTTTTTTTCTGATTAGGAAGATAAATGCTCTTTTTGGAAAATATGAGAGAGAGACAGAGAGATAGACAGAGGTAGGTAGGTAGATGGGAGAAGCAGGTAGAGAGGGAGAGAGAAAGAGAGGGGGAGAGAGAAATAGAGAAACAGAGGAAGGAAGGAAGGAAGGAAGGAAAAGGGAAGGAAGCAAGGAAGGAGGGAAGGAAGCAAGGAAGGAAGGAAGGAAGCAAGGAAGGAAAGAAAGAGGGAAGGAAGCAAGGAAGGAAGGAAGAAAGGAACGACTCCAACTCCCCTTCTGCACACACGAGGAAGCAGAGGCCCGGACAGTGCCAGGGTGACAGAGTCTTGTCCAAGATCACACAGCAAGTTGGCCCTGGTGATAGGACCAAATACCCTAAACGTAGGTCAACAGGGACTTACCTGCCCGTGGGGACACTGTGAGATTTGGAGAGTAGTGACAGCAAGCCTGCAGGAACACAATCAGTGTTTGGGGCCCTGGGGTCCCTCTCAGCACAGTCCCAGGAACAGCCCCTGTGAAAATAGCCCAGGGCCCACCAGCCCAGACTTGCCTGCCCTGTGGGAGGGCTGGTTCCCAGGCCCCCGCGTGCATCCCTCCCCAGTCAGGGCCCTGCTTGTGCCAAAGCGGGTGCACACTAAACTCACGCCTCATGTGGACACTATCTCAGAATCCGTGGGGGCACCGCAGCAGGCCCCTCAGAAAACGCTTCCTCCCTCCCCTCATCGTTCAGGTGGAGGATGGAAGCCCAGAGTTGGCAAGGGATTTATCCAGAGTCACACACAGGGCCAGAGCCAGGACCAAGATCCAGGTCTTGAAACTCTGCGGCTGTGGCCGTTTCTGCCTCTGCAGGACCATGTCTGGCAGCCCTGCTCTGAATTCAGGGGCCTCCAGGCTTTCCCCCCCGACACGCATTCCTGGTCCCATTCAAGCTTGAGCCGTGGCGCCCAAGCTGCTGGGCGATTCCCGCCACCCTGCTCTCTCCTGGCCCAACGCCTGTCCGAGGCTGATAAGATGATGTTGCTGCACATCTAACCCTGTATACCTCATTCAAGTTTCTAAAAAGCAGGCCACCTACGAACTTTGGAATTGTAGCCACTGGTGCGTCAGTTGCCTGTGGGACCCCTGTCCGTCACCATGACGAGCTGGGCCTGGGAACTGCGGCCCCATGGAAAATGCTAGATGGAGGAAGCAGCCCAAAAGGGAGCTGGAGACAAGGAATGAGCCTCGGTGGCTGGAGAATAGAACTGTTCCCCGGGTCAATCAGACAACAAACGTTCCTTGGTGCCAGCTCTGTGCTAGGTCTGGTGCCCGGTTGTGAGGGCACAGAGCTCAGCGTGAAGGTTGCTCTCCATAAGGTGGAGCGACTGTCCACGGAGCACGAGCACACAGGATCGTCCGCTAGCCTGGGGCAGGGGTCCACACAGGGAATAGAACACACAAAGACACCAGGACGCATGGTCCGCGAGGGCCTTCCCTGGCTCCTAGCGGGGATGTAACAGAGTGGTTATTGAATGACCAAGTGGATGGACGAAGGAAGGCAGGAGTCTTGTACGATGGAGGTGTGTGTCAGACACTGCTGGGGGCTGGAGAGAAAAGGAGAGGCCCAACTGTGCTGGCCCTGAAGGCCGAGCCAGGGCACGTGAGCTTTCTCTGAGGCTCATGAGAGAAGCCACGACGGTGCTGAGAAGCAGCATCTAACTGGGCTCCTGCTTCCCTCGGCAGTTAACAGAAGTCCTTGGCTTCTGGGAATATTCTAATCACCAGCAGCCTTGTGCGAGGCAGACGGAATGCCAGCCCGGCCTCCTGAATCCTCAGATGCACTCGTAAGGAGGGGCTGCCATGGGACCTTGGACAAGTCACGCTGCCCTCCCTGGGCCTCAGTTCTGGGCAGAGGCGTCCTCCAAGGGGAGCTCCCAGATCTCCCCCGTGCCTTTGTCCAGGGTTCAGCCATGGCCTGCGGAGTCAGGGGAGGGCAGGCAGAGTCCATCTTACCAGATCAGAGAGTAGCAGAAGCCGAGGATGGAGCCCACCAGCCGGAACTCAGATGAAAGGCAGGCAAAGAAGGGGAAGTAGGCCAGGCCGACTTCGATGCCTCCAATCAGAAGCACAAAGGCTGGGGAGACAGGGCCAGAGATGCTGTGAGACCCCTTACTATAGTACTATTACTATTATTACTATATGCCTTTAAAAATACTATGCAAAAAATAGTAATAATTGAAGGAATTCTAAATGATGGAGAGATATATTGTGTTTATAGGTCAGAAAACTCAATATTGTTAAGATAACAATTCTCCCCAAATTGAGCTATAAATTCCATGTAATCCCAATCAAAATCCCAGAATTTTTTGTAGAAATTAACAAAATTATTCTAAAATTCATATGGAAATGCAAAGGACCTAGAATAGCAAAAACATCTTTGAAAAATAACCATGGAAGGATTAACACCACCTGATTTCAAGAGTTATTATAAATCTATGATAATCAAGACAGTGTGGTATTGGTGCAAAGATAGACAAATAGATCAATGGAAGAGAATAGAGTCCAGAAATAGACCCACATATGCAGCCAACTGATTTTCAAGAAAAGTGCAAAGGCAAGTCAGTGGGCAAAGGACAGGCTTTAGTAGCAAATAGTACTGGAACATTTCATGTGGCTATCGAAAGGCAAAAAATAACTTCGGCCCACACTTCATACTATATGCAATAAATTAACTCAAAATATATCATAGACCTAAAAGCAAAACTTAAGGCTACATAAACTTCTGGAAAACACATAGGAGAAAATCTACATGACTTCAGCTTAGGCAAAGATTTCTTATATGACACTGTTAAGTATGACCCATAAAAGAAAAAAAAATGAGTAAGGGGTTGCATCAAAATTTAAAATGTCAGCTCTTCAAAAAAGTTGTTAGGAGCCTGAAAATTCAAGCTACAGACTGGGAGAAAATATTTGAAATTCATATATGTATATGATAATGGGCTTATAACCAGAATACATAAAGAACTTTCAAAACTCAATACAAAGAAAACAAAAACCACAATTTTAAACAATAGGAAAGTCATTTGAACAGACACTTCACAAATGAAGGTATAGGAATAGCAAATAAGCACATGAAAGTATGTTCAACATTTTTAGTCATTATGAAAATGCAAATGAAAACCTCTATATACCTCTTAAAATGCCAAAAATTTTTAAAAACTGGCCATACCAAGTGTCGGCAAGGATGTGGAGAAATCAGAGCTCTCTTGCTGATGGTGGTAATCAAAAATGATACAATCGCTTTGAAAAACAGTTTGGCAGTTTCTTGAAAAGCATAATCTACTATATAATCTATGTGATCCAGCCATGCCACTCACAGGCATTTATGAAAAATGGAAGCATGGTTACATACAAAGCTTTGTACACAAATGGTCATAGCAGCTTTATTTGCAATAGCCAAAAGTGGAAATAAATCAGATGTCCATCAACACGTGAATGGATGAACAGTGGTATATCCATATAATGGAATACTACTCGGCAATAAAAAAGGATAAACTGTTAATACGCAAATGTGTATGAATCTCAAAATAAGTATGCTAACTGAAAGAATCCAGAGCGAAAGGAAAAGAGTACATCTGTATGATTCCATGCATACAAAATTCTGGAAAATGCAAACTAAGCAGATCAGTGGTTGCCTGGAGAAGAGGGTGCGAAGAGAGAGGAGAGGAAAGGAGAGATTAGAAAGGGGAACAAGGAAACTTCTGGGGTTCATCACTTGATTGTGATCGCAGTTTCATGGATGTAAACATTTGTCAAAATTTGCCAAACTGTATGCTTCTAAGAGGTGTGTAGCTGTATAGCATTTTGATTTTAATTTGTATTTCCCTAGAGACTAATGAGATGTTGGTAGGTATTGGATCATATAGACTCGGAGCCCATGGGCAGGAACTGGGCTGGACAGAGAGGTGTGGGAGTCGTTGTATTAGGGGTAATTGAACCTGGAGATTAGAGCAGCTCCTTCAGGTGGAGCATGAGGCATGGGGAAAGACAAGGCCTCAGACCAAAGGCCAAAGAAGGAAGCATTGTTCTTTGAGGAGGAGTCCCAGGGCTCATTGATATTAAGGGGGCAGCTATGGCTATGGCTCAGGAGAGCTTTTGGGGGTAGGTGAGGAGGAACCTACTCTGAGCTGTAGTTACATCTTGTCTAAAGACCTCTGAATCTACCTGGGGAAAGCCCCACGAACAAGCTTTGAGGCTTTGTAGGCCAGGCATTGATCTTAGGCAAGTAACAGCCTGGGAAAACACAACAGTTCACAAAGTGTATCCCCCAATCCCAGAGAGCCCCGCCATGTGGTCTCTGGGAGCAAGAATTTCCACAGCCGAGTTTCCAGCAGGCATGAGGCAGCCTCTAGTACCTTGGGCCCACTGCGGGACCTGCAGGGGCTGGTAGCCTTCTGAAAACAGGAACATGACCTTATTGGCTGTGGCCCCAAAGGCAATTCCATAGGACCATCGGTTACTAAAAGTGCTCACGAAGTCCAGAGGCCTGTGAACAACAGAAACAGCTTGTGAGGACAGAAGGTGGCTCTGAGACCTTCCCACAGGTCATCTCCCAAGTGGCACTCCCACCCTGCGGAGAGGTTATGGGATAGTGAACTATTCATTGCAGCTGACATTTCCTGGGGCCCTCTGTGCCAGGCCTGGGGCTGGCATGGGTTCAGGGTACTGAAGTGAGGAAGACAAAACTCTGGCCCAGAGGAGCTCCAAGCCTAATGGGGGCACACACAAGGACACCAGCATCTATGACATAAAGCAAAGGGGGGAGTTTCGTTTAGAATAGAGACAGCACGACTCAAGAGACCAAAACAAGGAGTGTGTCCTAGACAGGTTTGAGGGAGCCTGCCCTGCACCCAGCCTCATTCTCTGAGAATTCTTCCTTCCAACAACCCCGATGAGGGTCCAGTGTCATTGGCTCTGCTGGTAGCATGGAATTGAAGAAGTAAGTAACATGCCATTCCCAAATATGCCACCCTGGCTATTGACAATTTTGAGTTAAAGACACTTAAAAAATAGCAGGTACAGAAAGATCACTCTGACCTTCCTGCTGTTTCTTAAAAACAGGAGATGAACTTCCCACGTACAAAAGGTCCTCCCTGTACGGAAGGGAAACAGCATTCTTGTCATGAGGGATGGGCAGTCGAGGCCGAGAGAACTGTACAGACCTTATTAAATAACTTTTATCTTCTAGTCTCTCCGCATAACTTAGTTACTTTTTCACAACTTACTACTCTTTGTCCAATTCCGTGTGTACGTGTTCAACTCTAACTGCGTCTTTGGCTCTTCATTTCCTTACCAGGGATCTCATGTCATGTAAAACTTCTATTTAAATAAACGTGAATGCTTTTCTCCTGTTGATCTGTCTCATGTCAATTTATTTCTCAGGCCCAGCCGAAAAATCCTAAGTGGGCAGAAGTAAAATTCCACCCCCCTCCCCTAATCATGCCTTCCTGGCCACAGTTGGCTGGGCTATGGGTGACAACTGTCTTTGGATGGGCCGATCAGATGTCTGGTCTTACATCTCGGATTTGTGACCATTGAGGACATGAGCCAATTATCCGTTAGAGCCTTGGTCTGGAAAGTCACACCAAGTTGGGACAATAGTCAATGCCAGAGGAAAGCCAAGGTTGTAGGGAAACGGAGGTCCTAACTCAGATGTCAGAGAGGACAATGTCAAACGGGGCTGAGGGGGCCCCGTCGCAGAAGGGCAGAAGGAAAGAGACAGAATCTCCCACAGGTTCCCATCTTAAGAGATATAGTTCCCATGGGTCCTGTCTTATTGGTTTCTGTGAGATCGCTGTAACTTCTTAAAAAATCCTGTTATCCTTTAATGTAAACAAGCTTGAGTGGATATCTCTTTCTTCTAACCAAGAGAGCTTTGTCTAGATCAGAATAAGCAATTGCACTTGGGAGAAGAGAAAAGCCTCTTCCAGTGAAAAGGTCCATTTTAACTGGGCCTTAATGAAAACTCAGGAAGGCAGGGGGAGCCAGGCATCGCAGGCAGGGGGTCCCATGTGGCTCAGGCATCGTTCCCTTTAAGGCTTGGCTGAAGGATCATGTCTTCTGAGAAGCCTGCTTGATCACCCACTCACAATCAGGCTGCCCCATCTGTGTCCCCTCTGCACTAGGTGCATGTCCCTGTTTCAGCACACCTTCCTTTGTGTCACCACTTGCTTAGTAAACTCTAAACTCCTCTGGGCTGGGGACCTAGCACAGGACCTTAGACAGAGTAGTCACTTAGTGCAGGTTTGTGGACATGCATTTTGTTGAATTGAGTTGAATTCTAATCAAGACCCCACCTATAGCACTTACGAGCTATGTGAGACTCAGTTTCCCCCTTTAAAACAGAGATAGAAACCCCTACTCCGCTCACATCACAGAGTCATCTCAGGCAGCAAATAACAAAGTGCTCTATAAGCTGCAGAGTACCGTGCACGTGTGAGGGTTATGACTCAGTGAAGACGGTGGGCCAGAATTACTCAGAGAAGCAGGGGGTGGGAAAGCGGCCAGGGAGCAAGTCGATTGTGCCATCATCAATGTAATTAAAAGCTATTGAATGTGATTGCTATGGGCCTTCTACTTCTTACAAAGCCCTGTGCTAGCACCTGCCTGCCAAATGCCCTGGGCAGAACCGAAGGGCTTTATCCACCAGCTTCAGTCTCTTTCTGTGCCTCAACCAATGCATCTTAGACCTGGCAGCTTGGGAAGGACCGACTGCCCCAGTGGGTGGGATCCAGAATGAATCTTTCACCTGTAGCTCATGTCACCTCTTGCCTCAGTCCTGACATGAGGGCTTCCTCTCCCTTCTCCAGAGCCCAAGGCTGAGACCTCAGCATGTACACAGTTTGAGCTTGCTCAGGTTATAATACTGGGGGGGGATCAGAGAGAATATCAAGCTGATCTTGGGTAAAGCTTTTGTCCCTTGTTAGCTGTGTGGCCTTGGGCAGGCCCCTTACCCTCTCTGAGCCTGAGTTGTCTTATCCATTGCATGAGGATAAAACCTCCACCATGCTAGACTGGCAACAGGGTTCATCAAAGTAGCACAGGCAAAGCAGATAACTCAGTGTCTGGGTCATGCACAGTGTGCAATGAATGTTATGTGCATCATCATGAGGATGATTAGGGGGTGAGGAGGCAGAGATATGAACAATTAGAGCTCAAGGAAAAGTGTAATAAGGGGTGCAGAGACTCAGAATGGCAGAGCTAGAAAGGCCCTGAAACCTCCTCTGGTCCAGCGGGATCTCCTGTGCGTGACTCACGGCACCATCCCAACAAGGAGCTTTGCTGCAGTCACAGGGAACTCTCTCCCTCCTGCCTCCTGAGGCAGCCATAGGCCTGAGTCTGGGAAGACCTTTGCCACGGTGGTCTGTGTCTCCTCAAGATGTTTTAAGCATATCTGGGCAGCCCTGAGCACTGAGGGCTGCAGTGGCTTGGAAGCCAATTCTGAACTCTGAGAGCTTTGGTTGGGTTGGGGCAGTGAGGGGCAGGGCTGTGCACGGTGGCGTAGAGGTGGGGATGGGACCTGGGAGCTACCTGGCCTTATCATTGACGTTGACACCGACCACAGGGTATCCCCCAAGCTGTAGGGGTTGACCCTCGACTCAACTCACAATATGATTCCAAAGTGGTTTCCCAAGAGGTAAGAGGTATCATCCCTCTGTCTACGATGCTCTCGTCTTTGGAGGAAGGACAAGACCAAAATGATGGCAAGCTGCAAGCAGAGAAGATGAGAGTCAGTGGACCATCCCCAGCGTGACCTCAGGCACCACTGAAAGTGAATGTGTGGGTGAGCCGAGAGCTCAGAATGTCTGTGACACCTCAAACTCCAGAGTCAGGGGGCTCGCTGCATGGACCCTTGAGCTACCAGAACATTCTGTACTGAGCTTTCCTTTGTGCTGCCCTGAACAGATGTAGGTTCAAATCTAGTCTCTCTCACACACTGGCTGGGAGGGAAGCTTAACTTCCCTGAACTCAGTTTCCTCATCTATAACAAGGCAGGAATAACCGTCAAGTTGCAAATCCTTCTGTGCTTTTTTCCTGCGGATTCAGTCCTGTTCTCTCACACTTGACGCCCTTTCTCTCTCCTCCCTTCACCAGAAACTTCTTGAGAATTGTCTACACTTGCTGTCTCCATCGTCCCTCACGGGCTCCTCAACCCCCTAACCTGCTTCTACCCCCATCACCCCACCGAAGCAGCCATGGCCAAGGACACAAAGGACCATTTTGTGGCTCCATCCATGTATACCATAAGCCCAAATCTAGCTTGGTCTCTCCGCAGCACCCCACAGAGTTGACCACTTCCTTCTCTTTGAAGCACTCTCTTCCCTCTGCCTCCATCAGTTGTGCTTTTCTGGTTTTCCTCCATTACTTCTCAGTCTTCTGTGCTGGATCATTCTTTACCCAACCCCTGAATTTGGAGTTCCTCACAGCTCAGTCCCAGGGTCATGCCTCTCCTCGCCTGACCTTCTCTTCCTCGGTGATCTCATCCATGTCCTTGCTTTTGACAGCCATGGACACACAGCAGACTCACAAACTTGAATCTTCAGCCCAGGCCCTGTCCATGAACTCCAGAACTGTACATCCAACTACACAGCTGACGTTTCTTTTTAATGAGTTAAAAGCCTCTCAAAGCTTTTATCAAAAGCTTCAGAACATCTTAAATGGAACCGTGATTTTCCTCCCCGCCCTGTTCCTTCCTCTACTCAAACCTGGATTTCTTCTCATTTTCCTTAACTAGTGAACGGCAGCTACCATCATCCTTCCAGCTGTGCAAGGTAGAAACCCAAGAGTCATCCTCGACACCCCTCCCTCCCCCTAACCTCCCTACTCAACCCATTACGAAGGCCTGTCATTTTCACCTCCTGAACTTCTGGAGTTGCCCACCGTCTTCAAGGATGAGCTAAAATCACCTCTTACCTGGATCCTACAACAGTCTCTTAATTGGTCTTCCTGCCTCCTCTCTTACCTGCCTCTAACCTGATGTCCACACAGCAACCAGAGTGATCTTTTAAAAATACCAATCTGATTGCGCCACCTTCTGCTGGACACACTTCCACTTCTTCCCATTGTACTTACCAACGGCAAAACTACTTAACACAGAGCCCTGCAAGGCTCTGCCTGGCCTGCCCCCCATGTCCCTGGGCTTCTCCGCCTCAATTCTCCACCCCGTCACACTGGCCTTCTCGGCTTCCCCAACTCTCTCTTCTCCACTCCTCCTTTGCACGTGCTGTCCCCTCTGTCTGAAACTCTTAATTTCATATTCCAACTGACCTCAGCTCCATCGTTACTTCCTCAGAAAAGCCTTTTTTGACTCCCCTAAAAGCCAATATCCCTGACTCTTGTGCCACCTTCTGCCTGTGTCGTTGGTGCATAATGTAAGAGGTTTTAGAAGGAGACTCAGCTGGAGTCTCTCCCTGACCTACTCAGGTCTCTTTGGGAGCCAATATGTGACAGCAGCCTAGCCTCCCTGCCTCCCTTCCTCGCCCCTCCCCTGCCTTTACTTACTGATGGGATGAGGGAATAATGGAGGAAGAGTTCCATGTCCACTGAGCTGGCACAGCTGCCATTTAGCTGCACGGTCCTGAAAAATGGCCAAAAATCACATTCACATCAACGATCACTGCTGTGGTCATTGACCCTTTAGCCTTGAACATCACGGTCAGGAGTTTGGCTTGTAAAGCCAAACTGATCTTTTTTAACTTCACTTTCTCAGAGCCAGGGCTGCTCACCTGTGGTGTGTCTTCCCTAAGGGGACTAACCCTCTTTCCTATTTCTTTCTCTAGCTTGATTGTCTATCCAGCTTCCTTGCCAACTGGAACTAACTCCTTCATTTCCTCGTGACACGGTTAGAGGCAGATTGTGGTCCTGTGGGGCCCAAAGCCTATATAACTTAAGCATCCTTTATAAGTAAAACTACAAAATATCTTACTTGCTCACTCTTTATGGGAGACATATGACCATGTAAACGGTTCACTAGGGTCTCTCCCATCCGGCCAGAGCCTTGGAAGTGTCCTGTGAGGGGCCCTGAGACTGAAGCATCATTAACGTCAGAGGAAAATAGCCTTCAGACATTGCTAACTAGCCTGCGTGACAGAGTGAGACCCTGTCTCAAAAAACAAACAAACAAAAAAGAAACACCATTAAGAAAAAAAATAGCCAAAGAATACTAATCTGTCAACAAAGAAAAAAGACAAATATTCAATAAATACTTAAAATTAAAGTAGGAATGAAAGAAGAAATTAAGATGAAATGCTGTTTTGCGGGAACTATAAAAAATAACTACCCAGCATTAGCGAAGAAGGTTAAGACAAGTTGGTATTCATTTACTGGTGGTGGTCACGGTGTATACTGGTATAACCATTCTGAGGATTAATTTTGCAGTATATACCAAGAGTCTTCAAAATGCAGCAATTCCATTTCTAGGAATTCTACTTTTAAAAAATATAAGCTGGCCGGGCACAGTGGCTCATGCCTGTAATCCTGGCACTTTGGGAGGCTGAGGTGGGAGGATTACTTGAGGTCAGGAGTTTGCAACCAGCCTGGGTGCCACAGTGAGACCTCATCTCTACAAAAAATGAGAAACATTAGCTAAATATGGGGGTGCATGCCTGGAGTCCTGGCTACTTGGGAGGTTAAGGCAGGAGGATCGCTTGAGCCAAGGAATTAGAGGCTGCAGGAGGCTATGATTCCGCCATTGCACTTCTGCCTGGGCAACAGAGCAAGACCCTGTCAATAAATAAATAAATAAATAAGTGAATAAATAAGCTAAGGAAATAATCAGAGAGGTGCCTGAAGATATGTACTAGAATGCTAAGATCTCTCTCTCTCTTTCTCTCCAGCTATCCCTCCTATATGTGTATAACATTTGAAACGTAATACATGTTCATTGTAAAACATTCAAAATATTTACAAGTGCATAGAGTAGTAAAGTGAAAGTCATTTCTTCTCCCATAATTATACAGTTTTTAAGCAAAAATGGGATCAGACTAAACTTGGCATTTTCATTTAATAAATAAAGGAAATTTCTCATGTCAGTATATACAGACTCATTTAATTATTTTTGATGGGTGACCCTGCCTAGACAGGTTTGCTGCTGGACCTGTCTCCTGCTTACAGGGGCTGAGCCAGGAGTTAGTCTGGAAGCATCTCACAGCAGGTGAGCTCAATCTATGTACAGCTCTCTAAACAAGGGGTCCATAGCTATGGAGTCTGGCCCGCCTGGGCTAACCTCCCACTCCAGCAGCCACTGCAGTGAACAGATAAAGTGCACTGGAGCCGATCCAGGGTAGACCACCAAGACCCATGTCTTGGTTTCTGAAACTCATGCTGTTGCCTGGTGGGTCCTGGGCTGGTCGGGCAGATTTACTGGAGGGTGAGCAGCAGCTACAGGGCAGCAGTAAAACAGCACTGTCAGCTGTAGAGGATCTGCCCAACACTGACAATGGCTTGAAAATGTGCTTATATCATTAAGTGAAAAAGAAGTTAAAATAAAAGATTATGAAACAACATGACCCTGAGTTGTTAAGTGGTCATCTCTGGGTGGTGGGATTAGAGGTCATTCTACTTAGCTTTTCTTTATGTTTCTCTCAGTTTTCCAAGTGTGGTACAATAGAGATGTATTTCTTGACAGCTGCTAATCTATCCCCAGTGCTTAAAACAGTGTCTGACACAAAATAGACGGCCATAAATGCAGGTGGAACGAATGGATGGGTTGTTTTTATACTCAAAGAAAAAACTGAATGTTGTCCCAAGACAATAAAATACCAATCTGAAGGGAAAACGTCCATGAAATCAGCACAGCATGGAACATGCAAGATTTGTTCTGTGATAGGGTAAAATTTACAAGTCTTTCACTAAGTTAAACATACTTGAAAATGAAAGCTAGGAGGGTCAGAAAGTGGCCAACTAGAGTTGCCCGGTGCTTGCCCCCGCCACAAATGGGGCAAATGCAATGAATAAGCAACTACATTTTGACTGGAGTGACCGAGGCAGTACCCTGGAGAACACCAGGGGAGTGACAAATTCCCTGTGGAGCACGGGAGGCCAGGGGAGCACCACAGAGAAGGGAGTGGCACACCCTGCCTCTGTCATGCTGTCTCCCCACTGGGATTGGCTCGGGGCCGGGGGGGGGCGGACAGCTCACGAGGAAAACGTAAGCTGGAGGCCCTCAGTGGTCCCCATTGCCACCACAGAAGCCAGCAGTCTTTGCTACAGGCGAGTCCCCCAGTCTTCACAGGCCCCAAATCCAGTTTGGAGAATTGCTCAGAGTTTGCACAGCTGCATTCCCCACACTAGGAATCCCCTTTGTACCCCCGCTCCCATGACCTAAGCTGCTACTGCACAGTGTCATCTTCAAACCAAAGCCACTGCTCGAGTATGTCCTGTCCTGGGGGCCAGTAGCCACTGACTCTGTCCATGCATGAGGCCCTGCTATCATTCCGTCATATCTACACAGGTGCCTGCAGCCACACGAGCCTAGCTGCCTGGAGCCTACACCCAGTGGAATGGTGGAGATCACAGTGTCTAAACCCATGTGGCACCCATCTTCTGTGGAACAGGCAGACCTGCACAGAGGGGAGGCCACTGCATACCCTGGGGACCCACTGTACCCTTGCACTTATGCACACCTGTGGGCACATGTGCCAGCCCTAACAGCAGTGGCCTGTTCCCTCAGAGAGACCACTGCACGGCCAACCAGAGTCCTGCGTCCCTACATACTTGCACCAAGATCAACAGAAAGCATGGTGGCAGCCCTGCCCCCAGGAGAGACTACCATATAGCCAGCCAGCCTGCCACAATTGTGCCCAGCCCTGCAGCCAGTCCAGTGGTGACCCTGCCCCCTATAGAGTTCATTGCACAGCCACCTGGCTTGCTGCACCTAAATGCACCCATGCCCAACCTGACAGCTCATGTGGCAGTGGCCCCATCCACCAGAGAGCCTGCTGTGCAGCTAGCCAGCCTGCCACACCCAGGCATGCCCCCAAGATAGCCTGCCACACAGCAAGTAGCCCATCATTCCCATGTGTGCTTGTGCCCAGCCCAACAACCAGCCTGGCACACTCCTCCCCAGCAAAACCATGCCATCACTGTCACAGAATCCTGCAGCCTAGGCCGCAGACACAATTGCAGACATCACTATGAGGATTGCTGCTGAAGAAACTGCGGAGATCATGCTACTGGGTCCACCCAGAACCAAAGCCAATGCATTACACTGAACTGACACCTTAAGATCCATCTACAGAAAAAATTGCTCCCTATGAAAGCTACTCTCCAAAATTGGGAAAATTGACTGTTACACTAGATGCAAAGACAGCATGAAACACATGACAGTAGCTTTCATTGATCGATGTCACTTTATTGTGTGTCCCTATGTCCTAGGCACTCCGCTATTTTACATTACCTACTTTAACCCTTACAAGAATCTAAGGAGGTAGGTTATATTATCCTCTTTTTAAAATGAGGAATTGAAGCCAGGAGAGGTTTGATGATTTACCCAGGGGAAGGTGAGCCACTCTCCTCCCAGTCCCAGCTGGTGGCTCACATGGCTGCTCAGAGCTCCTAGAGTTCCCTGGCCTTCCAGATTGTAGCTGATTCATCCCTTATCCTTAGAGTCCAGCCAGTGCCTGGCAGAGAGGCTCAGAGGATGTTTATGAAATTCCCTGGGAATCTCCCTCAGGGAACTGAGGCCCAGAGAGGGGCAGAGGTCAGAAAACATCACGCAGCCCAGGGCTTTTCATTGAGCGCAGTGAGCTCAGTGATCAGGTGCTGGGCACCTCGTGGGCACAGAAGGAATGGTGCCCACTGCTCAGTGCAGAGGAGGGTTAGGGAAGAAGGAAGAGGTGCATGCAGTGTGTGTGTGTGTGTGTCTGTGTGTCTGTGTATGTGCATTCAAGTGATGCCTCCCACAATGCAGCAACACATACATTGGGGTGTCTGATTCTGTGCCAGTCCTTCCCTGGCTTTGTGAACCCCATGAACCCCCCAGTTCATGCAGCCTCCGCAGAATCCTTGGAGGTCTGAGGTAGACGTGGAGGTGTGCTGAGGCTGGCGTGTGCCAGCTCAGAAGAATCAACTGCCCTCCTGTACGGAATTTCTTAAGCCAATTCTTAAATACCACCATTGTTAAAAATTAAATTGTATAAACATATAATTAAATAAGTTATAGTAAAAACAAAGATAGTAAAGACCCAAAACTCATCACTTCCTAATTATATCGCTATCTTTTACTGTTATGTGCACTCGAGTTTATTTACTGCTAGCGGTTTTATCTGTATAATGGCAATACTATGTTACGGGGTAGGCTGCCGTACGTCTCTTCCCACTCCTGTTCAGTGACATCACACGGCTCAAAATCAGCCATCGCCCATGGTTTACACCATGGAAATCAGCAACCACTACAGATCAGGGCTCGATTTATTGTTTTGTAGATTGTCTATAAAGTGACAGAGAAAATGTTAATGCAGATTTTAAAAATGTATGTTTGTAGCCATTACATTGTGAATAGCAAAAAATAATTGAGAAGATGTTCTTTCAGAATTCAGAAACTTTTATCTCATTCGGCAAAGTAGTTCCTGTCAATTG